GTATCCTGCAAGGTCTTTTAGATTAAAGCCCACCCTATTAAAAGATTAAGGAAACTAAATCTTTTTAGCCTGCTCAGAAAAGATCACAATGTTCAGATTCTTTTACAAAGTCAACGCAGGGGACATTTTCCAAAATCAGTAATGATCCAAAGACCAAAGGGCACACATGGAAATTAAAAGAATGTCCAAGAGAAAAAGATACATTTTTGTTTTCCCAGAGGGAGTTGTAGAGATCGTGAGCACACTCCTTTGGTTTGATTGAATTCTTGGATCATTAGGTTTAGGCTTGAGCAGGAGCAGCTGAATGGTTTTTGCACCTTCTTGATCTTTCCCAGCTTCCTGTACCCTTAACTTATTTTAAAAGAAAATGTAATGTCCCATTTTACTACCAAGCAATTATGCGGTTACCACCACATTTGTGAGATTTTAATATTAAAACTAGAGGTTTCATAAATCATAATTAGGATGGCTTTTTCATCACAGAAATTCTGAAAAATCTGAAACTTGTTGGTTTAGTGTGGAAACAATTCTGCTTATTTTAAAATCAATTAAAAGCAAATAAATATTTTGTTGCAGTCAAGGACATATGAAGGTCAGCACACCAGGAGAGGCAATTTGGCCCCTTCAGTTTGTTTGACTGCTAACAATTAGCTGGCTTGAAGATCTCCTCTAGCCATTTCCTGCAAGAAGACAAGGTATCTATTTTAACAACTTGGCTGGGTATAAGAACACAAGGGAAAATGTCATACTGAAATGATTGATCTTGCATCTTCTTTATGACCACAGCAACATCATATTTACTGTAAGGTAATTTCTTTCCTCTGGTTAAAGTGCTTAGAAAATTCCATTTAGAAAGAGCAGACCTTGCTCTTGCTCAGGAGACCAATATACATCGCTTGTTAAGAACCTTTAACGAGTTATTAGAGCAGGCTGTTGCAGTTTGTTGCTTTGGGATAGATTCAATTAACGTCTTTAAGTTGATACACTAGTTAAAAGGAGTGACATGGGACTGTTAAATACATTCCTATTATGTTGAACTAAAGCATTTATTGCATACTACAATTAAATAAATAGTACTTGAGATTAGTGTGTTATTAATTCTGTTCCCCTTTTCTTAGAATATATTTGAGTATATGTTTATTTACAACAACTGTTATTTCATTACCATCATTTTACTGACCATGGTAAATCAGTAAATTTACATTTTTCAAAAGGCTGACACCAATCTATTATTTCATATTTATGTGTAACAATGTTTTAACACAAGGTGCTTTATGCTGACTTCAGGTCTGCTTGCTTGAGTTTTCCAAAAATAAATACCAATTTATTTTGTTCAATTTACATATTCTTATAGTGAGAAATACATTATGCATTTTCATTTCCTAAAAAGTCAAAATGAAGACATATATAATTGGTTCATTATATATTATATTGTATTTTATATTTTAGATTATATTTTATCTTATGGATTTCAAAAGTTTTTTTGCTTAATTGTCAGATTTGACTAGCTACAGAACAGTAAAAAGTTTTCAGAATAATTGTAGTTTCAGCATATCTGTACAGCATTATTAATTACAGCATGAAACACTACGAATACTATTCATGAAGTACAGTACAACACTAGTCTGCAATGGGTAAAATACTGATCTTCCATATTCTTGTTTTGTAATAATATAACTTAAACTTATTTCATATGTCACATTTGATTAACATATTACCATTAATATAACATTTTATTTTGTAGGTTTTAAACGCTATACTGATTGTATGGCCTGAAACGTTTACTTTTACCATGTGGGATAAAAAAAAGAGTGGCAAAACGTAAATAAGAACATTAATTGTGCCACTACTGAGCCTCAAACGTCTAATTTGTACTTCTAATAAAAATTAGGCTGATTGGTGATTTGTTATAACTGCTTTTTAGTGTCACTTCTTTAGCTCTGTATCAGTTTATAGCACAGTTGCCTTTGGCAATGATCAACCACCACAGTGAACTACATGAACTACGAAATTCTTTTTAAATTGTGTATAATTGACAGACCTACAATGTACCTCCATACAACAACAAGGGAGCAAAGACCACTAAATTATTCACCAGCCAGCACTCCAGTGAGGGTCTATGCACTGACAGCCATAAAGCTCCTGTGTCTGTGGATGCAGAGAGTAATAACTACACAGAAATCATATTCAGCACACTGTATAAAATTACAAGAGCAGGACATTATAGGTCATATAATGAGAAATACATATGAGTTAAGTACTGTATATGATATGCAAATACCATCACAAAGCTGCAGTCCCCTCCAAATTTATTTTTTCGTAGTCAAGCAATTTATATTTATGATCATGAGATGAATATGAATGATAAGTACAATATAATACTTTTTTTAGTTTTTTTCATGCATAATCTTGAAAACCATTTTTTGTGTCCAAACCGTTGGTTTGATCTGACCTGTATTGGAACACAATCACTTTAAGTACTGTACTCTTCAGAGTATAAAAGAAAGTATTTGTTGTATATCATGTTAAGGCAACAACTGTGTCACTGATCCCAGCAAATTGGTTGTGCAATCATATAAGATGCTTTGCCAAGCCTTTGCTGCAGCCAGTGTTGTTGCCTGTTTATGGGGTGTTCTGACTTTTTTTGTTTTTCTCCAGCATGTGAAATACATATTTAGGTGCAATTAAATTTGGAGACTGACCTAGTGTGTCCAAGATTTTGCTCCTGAAGATCTCCTTGGTTGCTTTGACCATATTTTTGGGTCAGTGTCAAGCTGTAAGCTGAAGCTGCAGCCAATAGAAGCATTTTCTTCCACACATAAGCAAGAAAATCCTTTTTTTTCTGTAGCCTTCAGAATTCTGTGGCCACCTTCATTAATTACATCATCGTGTGACACTTCCAGAGGTGACCATGCATGTTCAGGCCATGACATTATCTCCGCCATGCTTTCTTAATGAGGTGGAATGCTTTGGGGCATATATATATATATAGGCCCTTTCTTTCTCCACACTCTATGCTTTCTGTCACTTTGGGAAATGTTTATCTTATTCTCATCTGTTCAAAATCTTTTCTGTTTCAAATTATGAAGCATAATATATTAAATATATGATATATAAAAAATGTATTGTATTATACAGTACTTGCCATGGATATAAAACTCAAGATCATGAGTGCAATTTACTTGACTAATAACAAATTGCAGTTTTGACTTTTGCAGTGACAATACTTTTGGAGGGCACTGTAAAACTGCCATACTGTAGGCAGAGACAGGGCAAGAGACAACAACAAGCTGAGTATGGTAGCTTTGAAGGCTCTAAGTCAACTACACATCAAGCGTTGTCCTAGAAACAGGTAGGCGAATTCAGCAGAAAGAGGTTTAGATTCCAGAGTGTGCTAGCAGAGCTTACTCAATAGGTCTTTCTTTATTTTAAAGATCAATGCTTTTTCACTGTAGTGTGATGTATGGCAGAAAAACAAGCTTCTGACTTCTCTAATAACTATTGTGACAGGTGATTTGGGATCCTTTGGAAAGTCTAAAACGTTAATTGATGCTACATCACAGTTTTCAATATTTCATACATTATTACATAAGAATTTTGCGAGGTCCCAGTGACTTTCATGACCGTTCTTGTTACACCCTTTTAACTGAATCTAGCTGAATAAACATACCTTTCAATACCCTTCAGTTCTTACACTCAGCTGCAAGAGAAGCGAGGCTAGGACCCCAAAGGCAAGGGCATGGAATCCTAGTCTTAGATTTAAATTTTTATGTGTGGGGTACTTTTTTAGTCTTGGCATTATTCAGACAACTTGCATGTGAAATGTGCTCCATAGAGAAATTACTTTTGTATGTAAATGTGAGCATGTTCCTACATACTATGGCAATACAAACCTAAGTGAACTAACATCACTTTTTAACATAAGTCAGGGTTGTCCAAAACCTGGTATTAGGGAGTTCTAATTCAGTATGTTTTGGTCATCCTGAATGGCCTGTTTCTAAAGATCTAAAACTGTAAGCTATTGCTCATTTCAACAAGCAATTTGCTACATTCAGGACATCAATGTCCTACAGGCCTTTTTGCTCTTAATCATATCTAAATTTCTTGATTTACTATTAGCATTCCTGCTTACCTGATCACACGTTAATTGTTCAAGCTCTTTTACAAATTGATTTATAAATGAAAAATCGATAACCTGTCGATTATCGATTCCTGTGCTCTCCAGCACTGGAAATCTAAGTTAGAAACACGTACAATATCATGTAATCTCTGCTGGTCACTGCTGATGCTAATGCCATCTGGCTTACGCTGCTGTCCGGGAGCTTTTCACTGCTCTGTGGTGCAGTTTTCATAATACTTTGAGTAGGCCAACCAAATTTAGAAGCACCTGTACATTGGGGTATTAAGTAATTTGTTTTCATTACGCCTGTAATAATCTTGACTGTGGTGACTAGAATCAGCTTTAATTCAACCGTCCTCTCAAAAATTGTGGCTCCTTCCTGCTGAATCCGCACTTCCCTGATTACACTGCATGTCCACATTGCCTCTGATGACTGCAAATGAGATACATTACAATGGACATGATCTGACATGAAAGCACCAGAAAAAACAACCATGAGACTCCAACCTTTCAAGCACACACCCACACACAAATACAATTGCAGACTCCCCCCCACCACCACCACAAACACAGTTCAGTTCTTACCTTTTTCTGACAAATAGCCGATATTTCAGCTGTGGGGGCGAAGGTACATAGAATTTCAACATACACAAGTAGAATTATGTCTGGAGTGGACCTCACTATACAGCTGTAAAAGTTTGGGTTGTGGGTTTGGCTTCCCTGGTAGAAGACAAGCTCTCCTCAACCGCTTATTCTGAATTTAATTTGACATTACAGAATGTCAATTTAAGGCAGAAAACTATGAATTATATTATGAATCAATTTTATAACACTATAAGTCAAAGGTTGGTTAATACTTTTGATAGTCACTGTACTACTCCACTTATTAGAATTATGATGTGTGCATGTGACATGAATTTAGATCAATTTCATGTGAACCTACAGTCAGTCATTTTATTTACTATGCTTCAAAACACTTTGGTACAGAGAACTGTGCAGATTTCTATAGCTGCTAACAATAAAACAATATACTGTATAACAGACTATTGGGCACTAAGGAGAAGAAAATAAAAACTCCCAGTGGGAGAAAATAAACCTCCCGGGGTTCCAGGCCCAGTGGTTGCCCACCTACCCATTAGGCCATGGATTTGGGGAATGAATTATGATGGACAGTGAGCAGTTTCTGCAATGTCTGGGGCTGCTATCCTGCCCTCCTGGGTCTGTCATCATTGCCTGTTATCTTTACATGTCTGTGCCACAAATAATGAAAAACTAAAAACATGAATGTTCTTTAATGTAAGGTCTGACATAATGGGCTTTAAATTTGAATTCTGTATATACTGACACCACTGTATTAAAAAATATAGAGACAGAGACAAATAGACATTGATTTTCTGAATATATATGCAGCATATACAACATATTACATAGATATGTATTATATCTATTATATAAATATAATAATGATATTATGTATGAGTGGGGAACCCTCTAATTTTACACTGAACAGAAGAAAAAACAGATGATGAAGGTTCCACAGCTGAAATTCTGCTTTTCATCAAAGAATTAACCTTTATTTGTTCCTTATTCTGTATGTAAATACACTTGGGGGCCTGTGCTCCAAAAGCAATGTGTTCTTTCTTCTGCTCTTCTTAAATGGATTCCGATTCTCTATAAATAGGGCATCAGGTCCCATCTTCTGTCATCTCTAAGTGAAACAACATGAGAATCTAAGCTCTACTTGAGGCTGAAAAAGAGCTGCCCCAATTTCAAATGTACAACTCACCTTGTGGCAAGAGAACATCAATGAGCCATTCTGCATGGTCCCTGGAAAAAGAAAAAATGAGTACAGAAATAATACAAAAAATGAATGAAGACAATATAAGTAGCTTCTTAATTTACATCTAATTTTAAAGGTGATTCATTGGGAAAATATGTCTTTAACTAATAGCACTGCCCTGCCAGTTAAACTGAGCAGGTTTCAGAATAGATCAAATAAATCAGCATGAACTACAAATACAACTACAAAAGTGTGAAGAAATAACCAGTATAACCATTTAACCGCAATTGCTTAAAAAAAAAGTTTAAAAGTATTATGCAGAGAATTTGGAGGTACATTTTCAATATACAGTACATAAGATATACAGGACCTTGTAAAATTATTCAGACCCTTCCTATGGTGTCTTATTTTTTGAACTTGCAAAATAATACTGTATATATTGTATATTCATCCTGGTTTACAACCAAATCACACAACAGATTAATAATACAGCATTTTTAGAATGCTGTACAGAAATTACTCCCTGTAGGCATAACACCAGGGTAAGTACAAGCCCCTAGTTACCACTGCAGTGGACTCAAATACCTCCTGGTGCCGTGAGAACATGTTCAGGTCAGACGTCTGTCCTGCCTGCTCCCACTTAAGAAACTAATTACCTCATCAGAGGCAGATACTTTAATCCCTGTCCAGTCCTCTGTCTGGCACTCTGTCATTTGGGTCCTTTCCTTGAGATTCCCTGAGTGCTTCTCTCACAATCCTGTTGTCTGTGCTAAAGCAGCATTCCACCTGTACAGTATCTCCCTGACCCTTTGGATTCTGATCCACTCATCAAACTGTAGTAACGTTATGTCTTTTGTTGAACCTATTCTTTACTGAAATTTTTATTTTAAGAATTCAGAATCTGGTATACCTCAGCAGATATTGTACTGTATGAAAATGCCAGAAAACACTTTCAAAATATTTTTGTCTTGTAATATGAGTACAGGTATATTAATTTTAGCATATGAATTAAAAAAAATATTCATATACTGAAAAACGTATTTTCAACCATTATTAACATGTTTGAGTGTGATATTATGGTTTGTCTCAAGAACACAAAGAAGAAAGCTACTTTTTGAAATGCTTCTTATTTCAAATATGGAATGACAAGAGGTGTCATAGTACATGTTTAATGGGAGCCGGTTTACAGTCCCATGTAGTGTGTATTTAGGACTCTATGCAGACAGTAAAATCTGGAATAGACTGGAGAAGGGCAACAGGGAAACACGACAGGATCAGGACAGGATAACTGACAGAGGGGCGTGACTGCAGTGTTCCAGTGCTCGGGGGCGTGGCACAGGCGAAGTCCAAAACAATCCAAAAGGGGAGACCAGGAAGCAGTCCAAAAGTCCATAGGCAGGAGATCCATCCAAAGACAGGAACGGGGACAAGGAATCAGGAACTAGGAAGTTAAAATCATAACAGATCCGGGTGCTCTGAGCCCGCATGGTCAGAAAGCCAGGGAATAAGACCAGCCTTTGGGCTACCCAAGAGCCCGGGAAATAGGCAAGCCTTCCAATACTGAGCCCAGATCTTCGGAGGCACGCGGAACAAGGGGCAGGTGAACGTAATAATGAAACTAAAATACAAAAAAGGGGAGGGAGTGCTCTCTAGGGGAGGGATGACAATCATGACAACATGTGTGTCAATCACTTTACGTTTGGGAGCAAACTTACTGTAATGTGTGCACACATAAAAGCCACTCGGGTTTGCATATTTTTGTTACAGTGATAGAAGTAGAATTCTCTGGGAAGAATACCTCAACATGAAGTTCCTAGGATATTCAGACTTCAATAATCCAGCATAACTAGACTCAAATTACTGTTACTGGCCATCAGGAATCTCTCAGCCTTAATGACCCACTTGTCAGGACTGTCAGATTTGGAGGGGCTATATGAGGAATCACTTCTGTGCATCAATTATGGTTGCTATCACAACTGGGTGCTTCTAGAATGGCAGCATCATGAAACCATGTCACAGGGCATATACTGTACAATTGCATGGTTCTTTGGTAAGCATGCATGGTCTTCTTCTTGATAAGAGTGCCACAGCAGTAAAGCAAAGTGACTAACAACCAGGAGGTACAACACATATTGTAAAGAAAAATCCATGTCATTTTCAAGAGATAAGGCCTAAGGGTGGGATTGGCACCACAGTATGAATTTTGCTATTTAAAGACTTACCCTGCAATTCTCTGGCTGCATTCTTCACATATGTACAGTGGAGGGGGTTTATCTCCTAAAGCCACAGAAAGTGTGGGATCTATGCACATCTGGAACCAATGAAGCAGAGGAAAAGTCAGCAAGCGATTAAGTACATACCAAACTGAATTGACAGGCTTTGCACAAACCTGTTCATGATACACAAGATCATGTTCCAGGACAATTTCAAAATGCTTCAGCTCCCTGTCTCTTCTGATGCAACTGCAATGTACTGTAGTTTTAATGAGTTTTAATGTAAGTGTGTCAGATCACACGAAGATCATGAACATCAGATAGTGTAATGTATTGGCTGATTGTCATTCATTCAGAACTCAACTACCAGCACACTTTAAATACAAAAATCTTAATTTGTAATTGTCACCTCCTGTGCAGTACAGTCTGCTTGCTACAGGAGCCCAGTAAAAAGGACCTAAACCACACTGTTGTGATGCAAGATCCAAGCTGTCTCTAGAAATTATGCCAGGTTGGAAATTAAGCTTAGCACAAATTTCACAGATGTGGTGGTGAAACAGAAAGCTAAAATGAGAAGTAATGCATACCTTAACAGCAGGCTTGTTGATTGCATTGTGGCATTCAATGTGTTGGCAGTGAATGGGATTCCAAGCTACACACAATAGTAGGCAAGGTGAAACAGATATGAGTGTTCGTCATGTGCACTAAATTGACAATACAACCTGTTTTTTCATTCATTTTAGTATCATTCAACCATTTCAGAGATAAACATTCATTGATCTATTAGACATTTCAGAACCATGATTTGTGGTACATTTCAAAAAGAGTCATCTTCACATAGAAATCAAAGGATAATTTATTGTTTTTTTTTTTGTTTTCCATTGAAAACATGTCTTGGATTACAAAAATCAGATCTCAATCCCTATTTTGGGTGGTGCTCTGGTTGCTTACAGAACTGTTTAAGATGCATGTATTTTCCAAATACAGTTTCTTCCTTATTGAGTTTTCCTCAATAATCCTTAACATTAAGCCACAGTTTCTACAGGTTTCCCTCAGGGCTGAGCTCTCAGTTCCTTAAATATTGCACTAAAAATAAGCTCCAATAGAATCAATATATTCAATAGATTGTCATCATTTCAGCTGTTGCAAAGTTACAAATCTAAGCTAAGCCATAAAATGCAATTGTTAAACTGAAATTGTTGAAAGAGGTCAGATTAATCAGATCAGTTCAGAGCGGAATTTTTTTTTTTATATCCTAGCAAGAGCTAGGATATAACAAAAAATAAAAGGAGCTAGAAGACAGATAAGTTCCCCCTGTTTTTTACCAATCATGGCCTCCCAATAATCCCCATCTATGAATTGGCTTCATTACTCTGTTCTCCTCCTCACTGATAGCTGATGTGTGGTAAGCATACTGAAACACTTTGGTGATCCAGGTGGGTGCTTCACATTGCTGGTAGAGGAGGAGAAGTCCCCATTACCTATAAAGCACTTCGAGTGGAGTGTCCAGAAAAGCACTATATGAGTGTAAGGTTGTTATTATTATTCATTATTACATACAATGTACTGTATGTACTTGTACTGTATCTCACCAGATATTTCTTATTATGATTATCATTCACTTTGACTCTCTTTCCCATGCATTATATCTTGATATCACTGCACCCTTGCTCATAAACCTACCTGTGTACTGCAGTCCTCTGTACTCACTGATTGCTCCAGGTGGCTTCAGGTTTGGCCAATAATGGAAAAGCATTTGCACTGCTGGAGGCTTGACCTGAGAAGGCCCATAGGATATAACATACAGCAAATCCTACAAAATACAATAGGAGGGTCTGATCAGTATGGATGTTATTTACAAAATACTGGAACAAACTCATCATTCACTATTGTCCTGTTATCACCACAAACATAATCATTTTTTATACTTGTTGGTTACCTTCTCATTGAAAGACTAATGTACTACAAAACCAGTACTCACATTCTCATTTTGCATGCAGAGTGGAGCTTTTGGAAATCTAAATTTGCATTTTTTCATTTAACAGTTAATAGTTAAATTTGTTAATAGTTTACCAGCAGTTTTTTCTTACAGCTTTGTACTACTGTATGCTAAAATCCTTGCATACTGCAACAATATCATGTATTTCTTTCAAATGCAACCAGTGAAGTATGTCGCTAAATTCAGCATGAAAAAAAGTCATCTTGTGTGCCTCACCTTCCACACTTCCTGCTTATACTTCATAAGGCATTCTAATAGTTGACAGTGGTACACTGAGAAAAAAAAAAACACGTGAATGAATTAGTCTCATAAAACCATTCTTCATTCAACAGCAAAAATCATGATTTTGTCTTAGGTCAGATTATTAGTAATCTTTCATACTATATAATATTGAGTCCAACCAATACTTTCAGATACTGGACTAAGAAACAGATGATTTCACTTCCTATCCACATAATTATTTCCAAATTGTTTTCAAAATCAGAATTAAAGGGAGCTATTGAATCTCAGATACTGGAGTTGCCCATTTTTAAAGGAGCAAACATTTGAGAGGGACAGCAGCCCAGTTCAATTTTACCTCAGTGTCTCTAACTCTAAATCATTCCATGATTTACTAAATTTTAAATAAATTATATTTAGTTCACTCCTCACTCTGCATGGGGTGCCCACCTCCTTGTCCTCTGGCCAGGATGTTAGCTCTCATTCAAACAGATTAAGTCATATATTATATGATTAATCTTAAAATTATGATTAAAATTAAATTACTGAATACATTTTATTGTTGGGTGTTGTTATTCCCTTTGAAGGTTAGATTATCACCAAACCACAGACAAGACAAAAAATGACTAACTATTTTCTCATTTACATTGCAATAAAAATATAAACAATACTATTACAATGCCACTTATGTTTGTTTAACATGCTATGTAGCTCTACAGTTCTAGGATCAGCTAACTAAGCCTTAGAAAGTTCGAAGTGTGCTGAATCACAGTTTCTTTTGTGTGGATAAGATATAGAACCATCTAGATACAGACTTTCCAAAACTCAGCCCCTCACAGGTTTTCTAGTTTCTTGGTCAGTCCACTCCTTCTCCTTCTGGTGAAGTCACACACAGAGGATCTACCCTCTGTCTCGATGACAAACCAACCAAAAAGTCTCTGCTCTCTGATTTTTTAATTGTCACCTGACCGTCTTCCAGCACCTGGTCAAATGACTGAGGGCATCAGCTCATTCCCACAGCCTTCTGAGGGACAGTATGTTGTCCAGACAAGGTCTGTCATCTTGTCTAAACCTGCTGTGCCTTAACAATATGCTTCTGGAAACTTTTGAAAAACATCCAAGTATGACCCCCATATACGAATTTGAATTTCACATCACCATAATAGCAACAATGTATTATCTCTAACACTGATGTCATATAGTAATGGCTCAGTGCCATGTATTTTTCACATTTGTGAAATTATCTACCTTTTCTGATTGATATTATTAGGCAACATGCAGAGACACACAATTGCTATGATAGGCTCCACAGTGTACAATACTTAATCTTAAGAGTACAAGAAGATATTGTTTAACACAACAGCCAACCTTAAATGTAGTGCCTCGTGCATGATATGGCCAGCAGCCATATCACTCTTCAACTCACAACTGGCAACCCACTGAAGCTAAGCAGGTGTGAGCCTGGTCAGTACCTGGATGGGAGACCTCCTGGGAAAAAGTAAGGTTGCTGCCAGGAGAGGTGTTAGTGGGGCCAGCAGGAGGCGTTCACCCTGCTGTCCATGTGGGTCCTAATGCCCCAGTATAGTGACGGGGACACTATACTGTAAACTGGCGCCATCCTTCGGATGAGACATAAAACCGAGGTCCTGACTCTCTGTGGTCATTAAAAATCCCAGGGCATTGCTCGAAAAGAGTAGGGGTGTAACCGCTGCGTCCTGGCCAAATTTCCCAATGGCCCTTACCAATCATGGCTTCCTAATAATCCCCATCTATGAATTGGCTTCATTACTCTGCTCTCCTCCCCTCTGATAGCTGATGTGTGGTGAGCATTCTGGTGCAAAATGGCTGCCGTCACAACATCCAGGTGGGGGGTGCACATTGGTGGAGGGGAGTCCCCATTACCTGTAAAGCGCCTTGAGTAGACTGTCCAGAAAAGCGCTATATACAGTGTAAGCAATTATTATTATTATTATTATTATTATTGTATTATTATTATTGCTTCCAACTTACCAGGGTTTGAGGTGTATTGCATGGCAATCATTAACATGGAGGAAGCCGACAGATTAACAAATGCTGGGACTCCTCCCTCTCTTCTAGTGGAGCCCACTGACAAAAGAAATGCAAGGAAGGGGAAAATGTTTCAGCTAATAATCCAGAATTTATAGATTTTTAAGCTTTATTGCACAAAAAAACAACTTTTGGCCTAAATACATTTAATCAGGGGCACAAAAACTGAGTTTACAACAGAGTGGGAAAAAGACATTTGAAAATATGTTTGATGTTCTATAGTTCCTTTATAAAAAAGTCATTATAATTTAATGGAGCTTGACATTTTTCACAAATTAAAACAAATTATCTATATCACTCTCATCTCTTTAAAAATAATGTTTAGATAGGGAATAACCTTTATTTAATCAACAATTAAGCTGTTTGATTCGGCGCATTCACATTTTGAGTATATACCTCTGATCACGGGTTCCACTGTTATTTTTATAGTTGTCTGGAGTTGTGCAAAGTGAAATAATGGTCATAGCAGACTGCTAAATTTACTGACCAAAGATACTGTAAGTGACTGCAGTCACGTAAGTTAATTCACTTAAGACTTAAGGGTAAACAACAGACTGTATATTGTTCCTGGTAAAGACCAGCTTCCCACATAAATTACCCACTTAATGCAAGCTTTCCTTGAAGATCAAAGACATCGCTCAGCTTACATTAAAATTATTCTCCATGTTTATTCTTCCTAATGTACTTTTCTATGCTTAAATGAATACAGAAATTGAATGAAGTTCAAAGTTGTAGGCCATAACATTTTTGGGGAGAGATCAGGAAGTAAGACAACATTCCTTTCACTGAAATTCTGAACAAAAGTTCAAGAGAAGGACATCACAAGTAGCTTGTACTCTAGCTGACAATGTTTGACTCCACCTGTTATCCACCTCCACATTTTGTATCGCTCTCCCTTACATAATATTCAAACCTCTCAAATAATGATTTGTTTGAGACTAGTGACTCTAAATCAAAGTGAGTTCCACCTCATCCAGCTGGTCAGACTCCCAATTAAATACAAATGCATTTACAAACAAAAAGTATTTTATGTCATTACTGATTTTGTGGGATTGTACTAGTCTCTGGAGCTAATTGCTACACTTGTAATGGACTAGAAAGGAGTCATCTGGCTATTGCTGTAAATGGCAATTCTATCCTATAGGTTTTGTTACTAACAGAAAGCAAAGTGTTAGACTTACAAATGGCCATCGGCAAAAACGATGTGCTGAGGTATTCAATGATGTCCTTATGCAGAAATGGAGGGAACGTGGCTAATGTGGAAATCATAGTGTAAGGTAAAGTGCTCAGAATATCATCACTGAGAAAAGGCAGGAGACAAGTTGTGGTATAAAATATGGACTGTCCAAGATCTGCAGAGGGAGAAAGTAAAGGAAGAAAGAAAATAAGTAAGCAAGTGCAGATGTTTTCACATGAATGTGCTAAAAACAAGGACCATTTTCATTGTTAGTGTGTCATCATTTCAATAACCCTCATTCAAAACTTTTGGCAGATGTATGATTTATTTTTGGCAAAGGCTGGCAAAATTGACTTTTCAGAATAAATGGACTGTCAATTAATGCTGCTGTAACAGGGAGTTGTTAGGTAGATGTGAGTTATAGTGTTAAGAGTCCACAGTAAAGTAACTTTTTAGTAAGAGTTCATTTTTAGGGATTAAGAGAAACTCATTACCACAATGCTTTTAATTAGTACACTGCAATAACAATACAAGTGTTTACAATAGCTTGTTGGCTCACATCAAATGTACAATGTCCTCAAACTGAGAATTTATTTTTAGAAGCTTTTACATCTGTTTGTTTAAGTCTATTAATGGTTTGGTAAAAATAAAAAAGTAAAAATACTTTTAACTCTGTGTTTAGCTGGCAAGTCATTAATGTATAAAGGCAGATTTATTTAAGTAAAGCATTAATTAATTGACAACCAATAATTTAATTTTGATGTATCAGGCATATAACTGTACCCACAACAAGAAAAGGTACAGATATGAAGATAAAAAAATAACTTCTATGAGCGTTTCAGAAATAATGAAAAAAATTATACAGAAACAAAGCTTTTGGCTAACACATTCAATAATATTGAGAATTGGGTAAAATAACACCTAAAGTATTAAACCTTCTGAAAACAATCCCACTGTTACGAGCAGAATTAATCAGAAAAAATTAATATAATTACAAAGGTAATTGAAATTAAAGTTAGTGAGGCATTTATTGACTAACATTTAAGGATTTATTAACTTCATGTATTGAACATTAGCAGCAGGACATCCAAAAATATTTTAAGTTTTGAGAATCTAAAATAAAAAACTCAATATTTATTACTTGAATAACATTCAATTTTCAGTCTTATAACAGGAAAAAATCCCACATTCTAATCGTTATGACTATGAACTTCATAACCATTTGGATCTGACAACATCCATATGCAAACAAAAATTTTCTTTTCACTATTTTTTTTCCAAATAACCTTTCAGATTATTGTCTATTCAATTGCTTCTGAAAAAAATGTCATAGATAGGAATCTTGGACAAAGTACAAGTACTGAAAGATAAGTGCAGGATAAAGCCAATAAAGTCTGTTTTGTCCCCTAAAGACAAGTGGAAAGACATTTGGTAACAGCTGCTTGACACAACCTCGGTTGAAGAGAATAGATCAGAAAAGGCTGTATTGTGGCTTTATTACGAACTGATCAGTAGCAAACAGACTACATTAGAATCTTTGATGAAGACATACTGTTCAAGTAAAATGCTGGGCAATGTGCCATGTTTTAATATGGCTTGTCTTTAGCATTAGTGTTGCCCTGTTTTTCTACCAAATTATTCATTTTTTGTTCTTTTCTATAGTAACATTTATTTCACCTCATCTTTGCACCCAGATGACTGTGTTTTTTATGCCTTTTCACTTGGCAGATTAATTCCAAAAGTTCCCTCTATCTTAAAACATTTGATTTTTTTTTTAAGTAAGGGTGTCTCAATATTTCCACTGAGAAAATGTTAGCTAAATCACTTTTTAAAGGTCCTATGCAAACTCTACAGCGACAAAAAAGTCAGGTAAATGACAGCTCGAAAGGATCACGGGTTGCATAGCGAAGACATCCAAAAACAACTTACCATGCTGACCATGCTGGAGCAATGGTACAAGGTCAAGCAAGGTCACCAGCGTCACATAGAGCCCCTGATAGTCCAGAGAGGGGTACTCTGACAACTGTGCGTCACGACTTTGCTGCCCGCGGTCAGACGGGGATTCACGCAGCACGCTGTAAAGGAGGGAGCGAGTAACTGTAGGGTTGATGGAACTGACTTGTGGTCTTAGAGATGGTGTGAGTGGGAATGGCACAGGAAAAAGACACATGGTCATGGGCACTGCCAAATTGGAAGCATCCTGGTTCTCCTTCTTGCCTGTGCGGGATAGAATGCTGTTCCGGGGACAAAGAAAAAAAGAGACAACAAAGACACAAAGAAACAGCACATTACATTGAAATGACACTACAGACAACGTAATAAAAAACCCAGATAAATCTCACATAGGATGCAGTGTCTTGACTTGGCTTTGGAAGGCACGCTTTTCTCATTCCAGCATGGAGGGAGATTTTATTTTTTTCCTTTTCTAAATATTTTTATACCCTTTCCAGCTTAAAAAGCCAGGCATCTACAAAACGTTTGCAATGACCACTGCATCTCATGCGCTATCTGGTGGCAAGGAGCAAAACTATAAAAAAAGGCATGTTTCAGTGACAACCCCATACTTCACCAGAGGGCAGCTGTTACCCTCCCATTCAAACAGAGCAATGCCCCATGCTTGACGTTTAAAGCGAACTGCAAGCTGATCAAATTCGTATTGAAGCAAATCAGTTACATATTGCTCAGGAGCCGATGGTAACTAACAGCTTTTTGTGTACAAGTTAGCGTCCAATCGTTTGGGAACTACAGGGGTGGCACTATCTGAAACATGCGTCAGCAAGAAATAAACATGTGTGTCAGTTAGGTAAGCCCCCTGAAGCAACACATGTTTATTGCATCAAAAATAATGTCTGTATGCATAAATTATGATACTGTTTGAGTATCATTCAGAAATAATGAAATCCAACAGGCATATGGATTTAGGTCTAAAAAAATATAACTAAACTACAGTAGGGAAAAAACTATAAAGAAAAAATAATAGGTTGCTTAAAATTGATGACCAATAGCATTATGCTTGTGAGCTAATGGCAATGGAGGTTTGTGTGTGCTTTCCCTAGTCTGCAAAATTGGCTTTATTTTCTTTTTGGAAACATAAGCAGTAGTTTAATAAATTTATATTTTTATTTTTTATTTGGGGGGGGGAATCTTATCTGTAACTAATCATAATATATCATGCATTCTAGGTCTAGTGTCAGCATCATTACTGTTGTTAATTAGATCAAATCTTGGCAACGTTTTACATTTATAACTTACGGGTCTACCTTTTCCCTCACATGTTGTTAAAACAAAAATGAGAAATGTTTTTTCATAGCATCTTATCTCAAATACATTTACGTATTCAATAACATTCAGTCATGCAGTTCACTAAGCAAATTTTATCGTTTCCATTTGTCATCCGGCATGTGAACCAATAATTGAGCAGGAAAGTGAATTTAGGTACGTGGTGTTTAAGCCACTTTTCCCACTTGCTAGCATCTCATCATGGCAATTTTTTATCATTGCACTGTATACAGTATATAACACATACTTTCAGGAAATCTCATTTATATTGCCCTTCTATTTAGATGGACCAGTTTATGAAACATCAGCATGCCAGTACTATACTAGAACTCCACATTTACTATAAGAATAATTCTATACTCTTTACACCATATAATGTATAATAAGCAACAGCGGGTAATAATATGCTCACACCTTATCTGTAACATCCTGACATGGCTCCCCTTTAACATCTGAAAACTGCTAACCACAGCTCTTCAATGTAAACCATTTAAAGCATTCTCCGCAGCTGGGTTTTTATAAAATATTTAAAGCAGCTCCATTCTCTGTCTGGAAACTAATTTCTTTCAAGAAACCTAGTTTACATTCTCTTATTTCAGGTAACAGATTTTATACCGCAGGTACACAGCGAAGTTGGGCTTATTATAGGTGCTTCAGCTCCATGATGACTAATGTTTGTTTTTTTAGTAAGCAAGTTTGCAATTAGGAAAAAATGACTTCTGAAAACATGGTAATAATCCAAAAAGTGATGCCAGAATAACTGACAGTAAAAGATCATCATACCCTTTTGCAGTCATAAACTACAAATCAATTATCTTTAAAATAGTGCTTTACTGCGTAACCACTGTTTCAAACAGTGTTGTCAATACACGTCCTGACAATAATGTAACGTAATGTGCACATGTTTTACGTTGTCGACTATACCTTGATTCAATCACTTAGCGGTGATGGGAAAAATATTGTTGTGGCCATTTTACATGGTCTCAGGCATGCATCGTAAGAATGTAGAATATTTAAGAATAGAATCTGAAAAATCTCCTGACGTATTGAGAAATACAACAAACTGAAATTAAAATTCTGTCCAGGCCAAAACAAAGTTCTCTGCTGTTAAGTATAATAAAAAGCAGACCTCCTAAAGGTGATAAAGGAGTAATAATATATTTAGCACTACATCATGTTTATGTCACTGCGAATATGGCAGTGGCTTGGGGGCTATATTGAGTTATGGAGATAATGGCTGGTTCTTTTGTCAGGTGTGTTGTGTTGTTTATTCTTCTCTTGTGTCTACTTCCCTCTCCTTCTAAGGTGTTCCTTCCCGCTAGCACAGATCGGACTTGGCCTAGGCCAATCAATTACCAACCAGTTGGAGGTGACACATTAGATGTGTGGAACAGTGGGGCAGAGAGAAAAAAACAGAGTGCACTGTGACCCCTGACAAATTCTGCACACTGTTGGTTCCACAAGTACTGAAGCTCCCAGTTGTTTACATCTGCTTACATCTCCAAATCCTGGACCTCTGGCCACAAACAAGATACAGTACATAAGCCTTGGCCAGTGGAGGTTAGAGGGCTCATTTGTGCCCTCCCTCTCTAACCCTGTGTCTTGCTGCAGACAGCCAGGGTAAGAAGAGGTATCTTAGAACTTGTGGTGTCAGGACAGTCAAAACAAGTAAGATGCCACAGAGACAACTGAAATCCTTTACTGAGTTTTTGTTTCAGTAAAAGGACGCCATACAGAGCTGATTTGGGAAGGTGTTGCTGTTCAAAGTATTTTTTTGAACATTACGGCAAGAGAGACAGGACTGAAAGGAATTCTCTCCAGGCATTCTCTCTTTTGTTTTGCTCTTCTGTTGCCTGGGATATTACAGTAGTGCTACGTTTTGTGTGTGTGTCCATAGTGGATATCCTATTTTTGTTTGTTTTTTCTTCACTTTTTATGACTGAACCCTTTTTGTAAGCTGTGAATAGCTATCGGAATAAAACCACATTTATTGTATCTACAGTACCTGCCTTGTGCTGGTATGACATTACATTGCTGGTCGTAAAAAATTGTTAAGTGGCTATAGTTCCTGCTAATGGTCACTACTGTGTTATCATGTGCGTTCTGTTCCCCAGAAGCATTGACATTTACAAGGAGTGAATCATTTTATTCAAAAAAGATTCTGTGCAGGACTTCTTTTATTGTATCAAAACAGGATGGCTCTGTTATCCTTTTAAAATAAATGCCATAATAAATGTGTTAATAATACCAGGCAAACAATTGCAAAAAAGGATGCTCAGTGCCCTGATGGCATTTCATATTTCCTGCACTCATGTGTTGTCCACACTTCATTGAGAAACAGAGAGCACGTGATCCTCACAGCTTGCTTTTGGACATGACAAAACGTGGGCAGGAACGTCTTGTAACAAACCACCCCAGCATCCTGCAACACATTAAGCCTCATTCCCTAGGCTGTGGACGTGCTGTCTGCCTTGTCTGTTTTTGTCAGTTCACCACAGCCCCCTTGGAACTCCCCTGGGCTGATGCAAAGCTAGAATCTGATACTCGGTAACTACAGGCCAATTCACATTCCCTTAAAAAGAAAGTGCCTCAGGGAATCATGCACAAACTAGGGTTAAATAGATCTGGCTCTCCTAACAATTTGGTTAATTAAACCTTGGCCTCCTCACGGCAGAGCAGAAGTGTCACCTATGAGCAATGATCATCAGCTTCATTTGTAGCATTAGCTGCCTGTCAACCTTCAACAGCTTCTCACGTGCTGCCCAGTTAAGGGGAAAGGCCACAATGACGCAGGAAGCCGTTATCTCTTTCCGCTTGTCTGGCTGTATTGCGCTTTGCTTTCCCTTCCATGTGAGCACGACACACTAAACGACAGAAACTCAGATGAAATAAACTGAGATGCATTGCCTGCCAACAGATCCTTGCAAAATCGGCTGTATTAAGACCATATTTGGTCAAATCCTTTATAATGTTTTATGCAGCACATCATCTGCAGCTACATAAATTACTGTTATGTCACAGAGAATGTAGAGCTGATTTTTTTCTATATTTTTTTTAAATTTGTTGAGAATATTTGGTCTCACAGTTTTCAGGTGTAAAGAAGCCACCCATTTGAATAGTGCATGAATACCTACTACATTAATCAGAAGACAGAAATTATTGATATCACGTATAATTCAAAATGACTTTAATTTGATCTTAAGGTTTTGGTACTAAAGCATTTCCTTAATGGCATGATAAAAAATGATCCTATGCTCCCTATATCAGGTGCTTTTCAAACTGAATTCATGTTTAGTAACATTTCATTTAAAACCTTACCAAAACATTTTCCTTTTTTTTCTTCAGGCAAAACATTAAATTATTCTTGATAATCTAGTTAGATTTAATGGTTGTGTTTTAAAAGGAGTCCAGAAAACAGTTGTGTAATAATATTAATATTACAGAAACTAGGGAATTTGGGTAGAGGAAATTACAGGCTATTTCAAACTAAAGTCTGGGAACCTCACTGCTGAAGAAGAAACTTTTTAAGACTGAGAAGCTGAGCTCTAGATACTACATGGTTTTATTTGCAGACTTTTGAGGGGCATGTTAGGAAGTATGTGGCTAATGCTCTTTTGAGAATCTATGTAATTATTTAATTTTTTTTTTAATGTTGAAAGACAGGGGTATCATCACATTCCCATTAGTGTCTTCACCTGAGATGAGTAGAGTAGAGTTCTTATTTGATTAACTAAACTACTAGTCAATGTATTTAGAAGATATTGAGCCATAAACCAAGGGCACCTTTTAAATCTTAATCTGTAAAAGATCTTAGAAAAAGGTTGCCATTGAATAAGTAATTAGATAAGTTCAGTGACTGAGACTAAGTAGAAATGAACATCCTAAGAACCTGAGAAATCCCCCAGAATGGTATTTCCATCCTGATTCCAGATCCGTTTGTACACTTTCCAGATTTGTTTTCACAGACTAAACTTTGTTTTCACTAAATTATCATTGATTCTGGAAATGTTTCTGTTTTGTTCTGACATTTTCACCCCAGTTTCACAACTGAAATGAAGATATGTTGAAAACCAGCTGTAATCAAGTTTTACACTTGAAGGACCTGAATGCATAGATATTGAACCACCAAGGTTGTTGTCTGGATTTGAGAAATTGGATTAATCAGCAACAGGAATTGTAGAAAGTCTATACAACAATGTTGTTTTGATGTTTAGCCTGAAGAAATAAAAAGTCCTGTCTTGCTAAATCAACATGTTTTGAAGAATGTGACAGATAAAACTAAATTTTTTAATGTATGTTATAATTTAGCTCTCTAAGCAGCTAAAGCTTATAGTTTTAGAAAACGAAAAACTATACCAACAACATAATAAATTGAGTGGCCTGTGTACCATAAATAACATATTGTTACTTTAGCTGCACAATCAATTTAATTCATTGATCATGTTCAGAAATGAGACCACCTTGGCCTCAAGCATTCTTAATAGCATACCTTAATATTCAGGCACCAATATAAACTGCATAGATTTGATCATAGGAATATCAGACCTTAATTCATCTTGCAGCCATAATTTCAAAGGCATTAATAGCCTTTTGCTTTACTTAACCTCACTGTTCCTGCATTCAGCACTTACCTGAGCAGAGTCTGAGAAAAGTATTTCAGAGTGTTTGCTATGTCAGTTCCAGATGGCACAGGGTAAATATTGTGAAGCACACGGTTGTGATACTCTTGCAAGTACCGTATCTTAGAGGCAACTAAACAAATAAAAAGCAGAGTAACAAACGTATAAATGGGTGACAACATTCAATCCTCTTTGTCAGGTTCATTGGAGGAAAGAGGGGAATTCACAAAGTATAAGCTTCATGCTGTCGTTTTAATAATGTATTAATTCTAAAGGTTCAATACAAGTCTTTGTGAATTACTCCCTTTTTGTCTTAATTTCCAAAATATGTCAAAGGTTTTAAAAATATGGTAACATGCAATGATTGCATTTCTTATTC